ACATAGTATGTAGCACTGCTAAGTACATGGTACATACATGGATAGTACATCACATGGTGCATAGAACATAGTATGTAGCACTGCCAAGTACATGGTACATACATGGATGTAGTAGTACATAATACGTAGTACATGTAGTACTACATAGCACATAGTACGCAGTTCTACGAAGTATATAGTACTAAATAGTACATAGCACGTCATACTACAAAGTACATATGTAGGTACATAGTAGATAGTAGTACATAGACTACATACACAGTACTACGAAGTGCATAGTACGTAGGTACATAGTAGATAGTAGTACATAGCACTACATAGTACATACTACATAGTACATGGTACACCGAACATAATTTGTAGCACACTAAGTACATGGTACACTACATTGTACGTGGTACAAAGTACATAGTACATAGTACATAGTACATAGTACATAATAGGTAGTACTGTACAGTACGTCGTACTATGTACGTAGTACTACAGAGTACATGGTCGATAGTGCATAGCACATAGCAAACTGTAGGATAGGATAGCTAAGGGCTTTACACAAAACGCCTCCTTTGGTGCTAGTGGTGCTTTTAAGAGCAGGCACCACTAGCACCCGGGGAGAGGCTCCGTCTATTGATGGGGAGCATCATCTGCTAGAAAGCGGGTCCAGCGTCCCTTATACAGAATAGATTTGCAAAACCCCTGCCAGCATTGATTACTCTGGGATCCAGAGGATTGACTGAGCAGGTCTTTAGAAAAGGGGGAGAGAACCTCTTCATCCTGTGCCAGGTGCCAGATATCTGCCGTTACAAACTAGTTCCTCCCTTCCCCCCCTTTTGCGAACTAGTTCAGGAATTTTAAAAAGGAGTAGACTTTTAAGATAGTTATAGACGACATTGTAGAACCGCCACCATCTCTCCCTCCCCGATAGATCAGTGGACCCTTATCCCCTCGAGTAATTCTACCGTGTGTTTCCCATTTAGACTACTGTAGGGACCACCCACCCAAATCCTGTTTCCTCTGATCATCGTGTACCTCTTCCTCTGATGCCCTGGAGCCTGGATGCGTTCATAAGTACATTCGGGCTGGCTTTTCTGCAAGCTTTCCACTCAGAATCTCCAGATGTTAAAGTAGAAGCTTCACTGGCATTGCAGCTCACCATACAGCTCTACTCGGGCCCACTCCTAATGGTTGGATGGCATTCTTGCTGCCCTTACTAGGTGGCTGGTATTCTTGTAGACTTTTGCAGTCTGACCCTAGGACCTGGTGCTCTCACTACACTGTCAGTGCGGGTTGAAGTTGAAGTTGTCCGCTTTATTCACACACACCAGGTGTGTAATGGAAGACGCCTGCGCACTCTGCAACGCACACATTGCTGTAGGTTAACCCATCAGAACCGCAAACGGGGTCAAAACTCCTTGGACACTCCGCCAGGCAGCCAATAACTGTGCAGTTGCCAGGGATGAAGCTGTGGATGCCATTGCAGAGGGCTATGCAGCCGTTGATGTAAGTCTTGCGGTCCACTCCGCAAACGGGGCTTAAAGTCTCTGGACACGGACATGGCTTTTGAGTGGAGTCTGCACGAAAAAGGAAAAAAAAAAACCAAAAAAAAAAAAAAAAAAGAAGAAGAAGAAGAAGAAAAGAACAAACAAAGCAAAAAAAGCAATGTAAGGATCAGACCACACGGACCCCTTCAGGAAAAAAAAAAAAAAAAGAGTACAAAAGGGCAATGCACTGAAGGAAGGGGGGTGAAAAACACAGCATACAACTCAGAATCACACACAGCAAAACCTTTAAGTTTAAGGATCATTGACCAAAACTAATGAAGCCCAATCCCAGTCTCCCAGACGGAACCAGGTGCTCCGATCGTGAGTTTTCACTGAAGATGACGGTTACTGGGGTTCCTAAGCACACGATGGCCGATTTTCTGATCGAGACAGGGGGTGCCCTCCGTACTTTGGCGTTCCACGATGTTCGTATCGTGGTACAGGTTAGTCCAAAGGAGGAAAGGATAGAAGTTGGATGAATATAAAGGAGACAAGGCTATGGAATGGTCTCCATGGTAGCATCGTGGTATTCGGACTTTGGGAAGGGGATAATTGTTGTTGCATCCTCCTGAAGAGTCTACTGGCGGGGTAGACTAAACGCGTCAAGGAAAGGCCGCGTGACAGGGTTATATCTGTTGAGCTGGCAGTTTTTCAGCAGGAATCTTATATCTGTTGAGCTGGCAGTTTTTCAGCAGGAATCTCGGTTCGGATTTGAGTCTCGTTGCTTGAGTGTGCATAACGGAGCGTGTTGCTGGCAATGCTGGGTGTATCTGTTTTTCTCCGTTCTCATGCTGGATCGGTCTTGCCGGACCCTTTTCTTCTCTCAGATTCAACAACCTTCCTTTTGTGCCTTTTCTTTTCAAGCATGCAACTAAAGTTATTGTTTCTCTCTTAAACCACCACTGTGGCAGTGACTGCCTTTCAGAGGCAAGGGCTAAGTCGTAAAAATAAAACTTATACCACATTCTTCGGATGCCATGCGCAGAAAATGGCTGGCGATAACTATCGGCAAACGAATATCCAATATCTTGGCCCTCTCTCGCAATGATGAAGAGCGCAGTGAAATGTGATACTCAATGTGAATTGCACACATCCGTGAGACATGGATACCTTGAACGCATGTGGCGCCCAAGGCTTCTGCCGAGGGCAGAAATAGTGTGTTTTCCAAGTTTCGCAGCAGCAGAAATGTTGTAGGCGGTTTTTTTTTTGCAAGGCAAGTGTGTTTTCAAAGTCGATAAAGCTCTCTCTCTCTCTCTCTCTCTCTCTCTCTCTCTCTCTCTCTCTCTCTCTCTCTCTCTCTCTCACGCGCTTGCTTGCATGGCCCCCGCTTCGAACAGCTAGATTCGAATGAATCTTGCCACGTTAGTGTGCAAGATTCATTCGAATC